TTTACAAGAGATCAGATAGACTGTACCCGAACTCATGCAATCACCGTCTCTACCATTTGGGCAAATTATGCAGTTTTTTGTTGTACATAGACGGTCGTACAGGCGCGAACTAGCTGGCGTCTTAGAGTGTCCGGTGGTATTTCTATCACTCTTACGAAATTCTCTAGACCGGCCCTTATTAAGCAGCGTTTTATAGCTGCACTTATTTCGTTTGAAATAAAGGGCAACAGAAACGGAGCTTTGTTTTCACTAGAATTATCGCTTTGGGGCGTGGGATTTCCTCGATGCCTATCCTGAGAAGCTACAGTTTCGTAACCATTTGAGATGGCTATTTGTCGCGCCAGTTTCGAGGATTCTTCCCTCTGCTCTCTACCTGTGCACACGCTAGCGGCGGTTCGAAACATATTTCTTAATTCCAAAGATTCAAAAATGAACCGCAAGGAGGGGTGTCTTGTCATCACGCGTGACCTGGCGCCATACTTCAGGCTGATCCAGTGACCTGACATGGACACAGTTATCGACCATGTATTACTCTGTGCGGCGGCTATCCACCAACTAACTTAAATACTTACAACGAATAAACGGTAGGTGTTTGAATGAAGCTGTTTCTTATGCGAATGCAAATCGATTTGTCAAGTTTTATCTGCTAGGGTTGTGAAAGTGTTTGGCTGAGTAGATCGCATCTCAATTTGACCTTTCCAGGCTCTGAAGAAGGCGAAACCGCCGAAACGTCAGCAATTGTGTTCTAATAAATTCTATATTAACAACCTCGTGTCTGCTTATTGATGAAAAACATTGAATTATCAATTAATGCCGAGGTTAACAGAAAGTCGGTCATGGGAATATGGCGTCTGTTTAAAAGTTTGTTCTTGATTAATGTTCTGGCCCTTTTCCACCGAGTAATTAAAGTATTCTTATATAAAATACGTCCTGGCTTAGAGGAAGGCGAAATCACCGAAACGTCACCCATCGACCAAGAACGTCAACAACAACGAGGGTGACAACGAAAACCTATACCAACGTCGCATCAGCTAAGGAAGATCGGTTTATAAGATTATATAAATAAATATATCAACTATCTATGTCGAGGTTTATAGAAAGTCGGTTTTTGGAGTTATTAAGAAATACATATTATATTAATGGAATAGGCCTGGGATCCATCCCCGTGAAGCTACAAATAGTTTTCCGAAGACATTATTTTGTCGTTGGATTTGTTTAGTCTGTTTTCGAAGGTTTCGAATTTTTGAAAAACTGAAAACGAAATTTGAATTCTTAAATTTTTCAGTGCGAGCGCGGTTACTGAAAATATGAGTGGTGAGATATAATCGTGTATCGTAGAAAACCGCGTAAGCTAAATCGTCCGACTGCTCGGGATGCGAGAATTGGGAGAAAAAGCGAGACAAAAAAGAAGAATTTCATCTTAGTAGAGCAAAAGAACTTCTAACTTGTAAGGGAAAATCTGTAGATTCCAAGGCCTCTATTTAAGTTGATAGAGTTCATTGCGAGCAGAAAAATACCTGTTTAAAACTGGAAGGCAAAATAATTTCCCTGCATTGATGAGTCGTACAACAACTCATTTCATGGCCAATGTGTTGGACAGTTTTCGCGCACCTCATAGTGCTCAATCATACACGGACGTCTGCCATTGTATTTCCGAAGTAGACAAAAACATTGCGGGAGAAATCTAATGATGACTAACCTTCGCTGCAACTTGCTCCATAGAAGCCAGGTGGACAAATACAGGAACCATCTTTGGTGTTGCACTCCGCTCCATTTTGACAGGCACACTCGTATGCACAGTTCGGACCATAAGCACCAGCCGGACAGGCTGAAATCTCTTACCTTCAGATTTTAATAAAGCGTTACCGTGTATGATATGAAGTAGTAAGTTTACACTAATTGAAAATTCGAATTAGCTATTCAAGAACCACTTTTTCTTAAGTTATTTTGACGTCAGTCAGACCATCAAAGCAGTGCACTCGCTTTGATGTACTTATAATCGCTGTTTATAACAATGCAGTGCTTTCTAATAATCTTAATGCGTATTTTTATCGACTACAGTATCGAATGCCATATCGCATGATCAATGCGTACTAATTAGTGTAATGCTTATTTTTCATTGTATATGGATATAATTGTGAATCCCGCATCTCGACCAAATCAATAAATAAGCCATAATCGAACAACCCGGAAGCATATGAGTGTCTGTTCGGTATTATAATAACCATGAAGAAAATATAAGACCATCTAGGAACTACTTGGAAAGCCGCTCGTACGTCTTATTTCCTTTCTCGTATAGCGAAACTTGATAGACAAAGGGGCATGATTACACCTCATACCTAAAAATAAATAACACACGGCCACCTGATCATAATCCTTAATCCCACAAATCCGCTAAACATGTCAACCACCATTAAAAAGAGTATGGATGGCCACACCAGTCCTTGATCTAAACGAAGAAGTTAAAATAAAGATTGGCTATCTTTACGAAATGTCCATTCAATGTTGGGTCGTTTGTATCACTAGGTAGGAGATAAGGGATGAGGGATAACGTTCTCAGCGTCGATCAATCCCTGAGGGATCCACCATGCATTCGACTTCATCAAGCATCGTTAGAGGTGATATAATGCATATTTGGCCTAAAGAATAACTTGCGGTAGCCCTACGATCTATCAAGTTAGTGCCACTATTCTCTCAGGCCACTATGGTGCCAATATGATGGCCCTAAAGGTGTAGAGGGCTAGGTGAGCTCTGGGAGTGGGATCTAGCCAACAACCACATGTGTATTGCGGTGGACCTGTAACCAGTGCTCAAAATGTGCTATGGAGAATAACTTAGCTAAATGTGATGTACTCGAACTACCTCAGATGAAGTTTCACTAAAGAAACAACCAACATATGATGCATGACAACTGCTTCTGAATACTGATTACAAAGGAGCAACCATTCACTCATCTTTCCTAATTGCTTCAGACAAAACATGGAATTGTGCTAATAATTGCAAAGAAAAATTCGAAATATCCGCGAATACAAAGAAGTTAGACAGAAAGAACTAGCTGAGAGACAGGCAAAACGAAGGACCCGGATGGTGTGGTGGTGAAGTGCGCTGCTCCCCGGTGAGGACAACAGCGCAGGTTCGTTCCCCACCGCATGCACCTGCGGTCCGGGGTTTTGCAAATATCTCAGCATTATATACGAGTTATATTTCGCAACATACCCTGCCATTAAAAAGAAAAAAAGGCAATGAATAAAAGGGTTAAAATTGTAAACAGAAATAGATTTTTAGCTATTCGGACTCCAATTCTAACGCAACAGCAATGCATGCAAACACGTTAATGCGAACGGAATAGAGTGAAATCACGAGAAAAAGGGCAATTTGAAGCGTATTAGCTAGTTCAACTTCCATCACTCCTCCTAACCAACATTTCTGAATGCTATCTATTCCTACTTAAACCCCATAGTCACCTGGCAGGACCTCCTAAAATATCCACTACTTCTGAGCTATTTTGCCTTCTTTAAACGGAAAAAACTAGCATCGTTTAGAGAGGGAATCCTGAAGAAAGAAGGAAAATGGGCTTATGAAAATAAACATCTCCAGAAGTGATGCTATTTGTGTTCATTGCGAAAACATAAAAGAAAAGGCGGGGAATGTTTTTGTTAGAAAATAGATATGTTTCCGCTTCATCTGAAAAAGAATTAAACCACTTTTTATTAAGAAAACGACAATATTTAGAAGCATCTCGTAAACTGTGCCTAAACGAAAGGATAGATTCTTCACCTACGCACGCCATGTCATATTTTTGGGATAACAATATCACATATTGCTGTGACTAGTGCACTTACGCGTATCACACATCACTCCAGTAAGTCCAGGAAGACATGAACAGGTGCCGGTGACATGGTGACATGCTTTCGGTTGGTCTGGTTCGAAACAACTGCAACGTTGCTCGCAATCGTAGCCATAGGTACCAGGTGCACAAACTGTAACAGCACTAAGTGCAACATGAAACCTGAAATCTGCAACGAATCCACCAGAGCACAAAAAATGAAGTGGGGCTCGAACTCCACCCGAACAGGGTTCGTCTAGCCATTATGAACACAACGAAAATGATGCTCAGTATAATCTTTACGCATGGCAGTGTTCACAACTTTTGTCAAAATCCTTTGAATACGTGCTAGTATCACTCAAACCATTACTAAAACTTTACAAATGTGGCATATGGCTGATGCATAGGAACATAAACGTGAAAAATCCCTTGGTGCAGAGTTTTTCAGCTTTCTTTCACGCTAAGATACACACAATGACACGATATGGACAGAAAACGCCTATGTGGAATGGATACAAGTAAAAGAAATCATAAGACAGACATAACTTGAAGTTGGATGAACGAGGATGAAAGCGCTCTTCTCACGAAAATAATAATTTTGATAAGCTCTCAATCTTGAAAAACCGACAAGTTACAATATAATAACATTTACTAGGCGCGGGCGGCTTCTTGGTTTACCTTTTCTTTAGAGCTTCAGACGCTCACATTGAACTTGTGAACGAAAACAAGCACTTTCACGTTTTTAAAAAGGTTCTGAAGTTAGAGGATGACAATGTAGTAACAAGTTTTAGTAGATAGTATTAGTATTAACCATCAGCTAGGTGAATGGTTCGCTGTTTCCGAAGCCTCAAACGTTGATCCAAAATCTCTCAACGATTTCATCAGGATTTGCACTCTTGCGGAAGGATCATAGCTATTACTACAAATTTTCAATTTTACTTCTTTGTATCCGATATGCACAAAACGAATACTTAATTCCAAGAAAAAAGAAACAAGTGGGTAATCGAACCCATTTTACTTGAATCCCAACCATTGAGGCAAACTGGGAAATGCTATGCTATACGAAGAGAGTCAAAAGGAGTATTGCAAATTAGCGAAGGTTCTAGCGTGTTTCAATTGATTCAACACGTCGTAGGTCACGGCTGCCTCCCAAGAATAAAACAAAGAAATTTTTCTTATCTTAAAATCGCTTTTTTGTAGCTAAAATATGAGCGAAGAGATGTAAACTACAAACAATCTATGTACAGTCTTTTTCCAGTTTGCTTTGTTTCGCCGTATTGTGAAGTGATTTTAAAAGATGCTCGGATCTCAAAAAATAGAAACCAGTTCCCTTTCCTCCTTTTCCACTTATAGAAAACTATACTGAAAAGCTTGCTGTAAGACTGTCGAATTGGTTGGTAGAGCAAGACACAAAGCTCACTATAACCCATCTTAAACATTGAAGAAAGCTGAAGCAGCCGAATCATCAGGAGTCACTCAAAAAATCTCACGTGGGGTCAACAAAGAACACGAAATTGAGACACATACTGAGATTAATAAAAAATGAATTTGACGAAAAAATCTTTTTTTTCTACTCTTAACTATCCCTCTCTCTCTCCCTCTCTCACACTTGCTCAAGGTATCCACTAGAAGCGTTGCAAGAATTCAAACACGGAAGTGCTCGGTCGGAAATATTGTGTGTCTAGGCTAAACATTTCCAATATTTCCATTCATATCCAACTGTGACTCAATGCGCTACTAGGTAAGCGATAAATCAAAGCTTCTGATTTCAGTACCTGTATCACAGGATTCTCCAGTATATCCAGGAGGACATTTCTTAGCGCAGTCGCCCGTGACAGCGTCACAGCGAAATCCGTTGGCGCACTGACACTTCTTGGCACAACTCGGACCATAAAATCCAATTGGACATTGCCTCTTACAGAGTGGGCCATAGAATCCAGCTCGACAAATACATTTTCCAGTCTGAAAAAAGAAAAGAATACTAGTAGAGTAACCGAGCACTCTGTAGAATAGTAGAAAAAAGTATTCTCTCTCGCCTAAAGGTAATCTGCAAACAATTTCCAGAACAAGTTTTTTGCACCACATTTTCATAACCAACGTCCCAAAAGAATCAAAATTTTAATGAAGTACAGTATCAGTTATGTATTCCGCGAGAACACTTCGTCTTGAAGGATGGAAACCTGGTTGTTGAATGAGTAATGAGTTCGCTGTCCAATGTATGAACTTCGGGAATAAGTCGAGAAAAAACGTCATGGTTCTAAATATGGTAATAATACCTTGAAAAGGATAGAATAAATGATAAAACTCTCGGCGTTGATCAATCCCTTTAGGGATGCGCCATCATTCGACTTCATTAAGTATTGTTGGAGGTGATTGAATGCATATCTGGCCTTTACAATGACACATGGTGGCATGTATTGAGCCAGTGTTACCATCCCCCCAAACAAGTCTGGTACCAATTTGCCGAACGCGGAGGGATGGAGGGCTTGGTGAGTCACGGCCGTGGGGATCGATCCCATGTGTGCGTTGCAGGGCGCCTCCGACCACTGTTCCACACAGGCTCTTAAACATAATAATATCTTGTCATTGTAGAATAAGGATAGTCTCTCCTTGCTGGCAAAGATTTATATATTCATCTATTATGTATCTGTACGATATCAACTAATAATTAACATTTTTAAAAGCATTTCTTTTTGATTCACCAGATTTTAAAACACTAAAATAAACTAAAATAAAAAAGAAAAAATAATAGATCAGCCAGAGCATTTGGATCAACAGCCCTAGCTGTCTCTGTTACTATTAATTTTTTTTGGTAAACATTATTGTGTCATTCGTATGGAATGCTGAGATATTTGCAAAACTCCGAACCACAGGTGTATGCAGTATGGAACGAACACGCGCTGTTGTCCTTACCGAGGAGCAGCGCACTTCACCACCACACCATTCGGGTCCTTCGTCTTGCCTTTCTCTCAGCTAGTTCTATCGATCTTTTTTGCCATCAGCAATCACTCTTCAACGGGATTGATCTGGGAAGCCCAAATCGGCATTGAACCCAGTTAAGCTAAGGCTTAGTTATAATCACAATCTTAACCCTTTTATTTACTGCCTTTTTCTCCTTAATGGCAGGGTATGTTGCGAAATATAACTCCCTCCTTGCTGGCAAAGGCAAAAATCGATAGAACTAGCTGAGAGAAAGGCAAGACGAAGGACCTGGATGGTGTAGTGATGAAGTGCACTGCCCCCCGGTAAGGACAACAGCGCGTGTTCGATCTCCATTGCATACACTTGTGGCCCGTAGTTTTACAAAAATCCCAGCATTTCATACGAGTTATATTTCGCAACATACCCTTCCATTAAGAAGAAAAAGGCAGTAAATAAAAGGGTTAAGATTATCAGTAAAATGCTCGAGCTGAAAAAATGTTTATTACTAGCTTAGATATGTCACTTTAAAGTTGGAAATCGGTACTGTTTACTACGAGCTGGTATATGCTTATTTAAAATCGGTGGGCGTAAGTGTTTCCTTCCGTGTAGGCGTTGAACTCAAAATTTTAATTGCTAGCCGTTACAAATTTGTAAACTGAATGTGAACTTTTTATTCTCTGCCTACTCCAATTTTTTACGGAAGGATATTATGTGGAAACCAACCACGATGGTGCTGAGATATTTGCAAAACTTCGATCCGTAGGTGTCTGTGGTGGGAATCGAACGCAATACTACTGACAGACACCTGCAGTCCGGAGTTTTGTCAATATCTCAGCATCACTGTAGTTGCATTTGTAAACAGAGTTAAAGTCACAATGTAGCTAGTTCTTATTTATTGCATGTTGCAGTTTTTCGCTTTGCCTTGGAGTTAAAACGATTAGCAGCTAAAACATTAGCAGAAAAGAAAGCGAAATCAGCTTTTTCCGAAATCTATGGAATAAAGAAATAACCTGATAGGAAAATTATTACGCGATTCTTTCACAATTGTTTTAGAGGAACCGTTGGTAAGTGATACACTGAAAGAAACAAAGGCAGAGTATCTTAGAGCTACGGCGAGAAAACAATAATAATAAATTATGATTTCAACAATATCGCGCCTAAAAGAAAATCCTTAATAACGAAGCGCCACATTTTGGAAGTAGAGAAGCCTGGCAACACCCTTAGTAAAATTTGAGATAATATTTTAAGAAAAACTAGAAAAAGGAAGAAAGGGTCGCAGCATACCTTGCTATCGCAACCCTCGCTGTTCTCGCGTGAACACTTACACGTGTGCCTGCAGTTTTTGCCGAACATAAAACTCGGACAAGGCCTGGAAAAACCAGAGTAGTTTTAAGTTTACAAAGCTTTTTAAATTTTATACTACCCTTCTTCTCATTTACTGTGCGGATCCTCACCAAACGATTGTAAGGAGATAGGAACTCAAGAAGAAAGACTGCAAATTATTAAAACTCGCAATCTCTGTTACAATTGCGATTCATCAATGCATCAGCTGTCCGACTGCAAAGCAGGCCCGCGCCGAAATTGCAATAAGCACAGACACCACACTTCCATTTGTAGGTATCAGCACGTATCGACTGAATACAAGCCGAGAAAAGTAGGAGCACTATAAGTAACAGAACAAACGCACCTTCGAAATTACCAAATACTATTCCAAGGGAGGAGAAACCAAGTTCATCAAAAATCAATACGGTAACCTCTGATGAGACACAACCGGAGGATACTGTCGATCTTTATACCAGGACGAAATACGCACCCAACAGTCAAATTTTAGCAGGACAGGCGGAAGTATTCAATTCCAACAAGGCGAGACGAAAACTAACGGAGGTGATCCACGATACAGGATCTGACCTCTCGTTCATTACTAATGCGCTAGCCAATCGCCTTCAACTACGTGATAGTGATTTCACTGAATTAACCATCCACACACTCGAGGATCCAAAGCCAATTACTAGGACATGCGGTGTCACTACGTTGAAATTGAGGGATGCCTTCGGATCGGAGCACGAAATTACGGCAACCAGAATCGATAAGATAACACAGCTCTAGAACGCCTCGATCTAAACGTAGAGGACACAGTTTCTCGAGAATCATAAAATTAAGCTGTCGATCAATCCAGACCTTAACACTATATATCCAGAAATCCTTCTCGTGTGCTCAGACTCAATCACCATGCTTGATGGTGGATTAACTCCAACAAGAACATTGCCATCAGGATTGAAATTAATCCCATCCAAACTTGGATATCTCGTCACAGGAACGCTCTACAACCGAATCGAGACAACGGGAGAGGTTGCGTTTCTTCTGACGGATGCCACACATGCTTGTCAGCACATAACTGAACAGCAGTCATAGGAAAGATATTGATCATTGAAATCATCAGGAATCCATGAATACACAGGACCAAGCGTACAAGAACGACAGCAACAGAACGACAATACCTGGAAAGAGTCCCAAAAACAATAGGAAAACGAGAAGACGGCTATTATGTCCGGCTTCCTTGGAAAAATGAAGCACACACGTTGCCAGATAACAAAAGCATCGCAGTGAAACGGTTGCAGGCGACAATAGCGAATCTAAAGCATGATCCAGTTATATTTGAAAATTATCATAAAACCATCAAGGAACAACTGGACCAAAACATCATCGAAGAAGTTGACGAATCAATACCAACAGAAGGAACGATAATACATTACCTTCCACACCAAGCGGTCTTCACTCCCAACAAAGAGACTACAAAGTTGAGAATTGTTTACGATGCATCTGCTCACCTCAAGAAGGCCTCCTCATTAAACGATGTCCTTCATCAGGGTCCATTGTTCCTACCAAAAATATACGACATTTTACTTCGGTTTCGCATCGGAAATATCGCAATAATTAGCGACGTCGAAAAGGCTTTCCTACAAATACGACTGCATGAAGCAGACAAAGACGCTACACGATTTCTATGGATCCGAGATATCTCTCACCCTTTGGAACCAAGAAACATATCCGTGTACAGATTTACACGAGTTACATTCGGACGCGATTGTTCACCATTCCTTCTAGCAGAAACAATTAAACACCATTTAAATAACTACCAAAATGATTCTAAATTCGTCGAACACCTCAGCAGTAACACCTATGTAGATAATGTGACACTAACAGCCGCCTCAATACAAGAAGCAGTGTCGACATACAGAGAAGCAAAGCAGATATTCAAGGATTTGAACATGAATTTGCCTGAATTTCTTTCATATGACAGGGACTTTCTACAGCAAATTCCTCAAAAAGATCGGGCATCAAGTAGTCTACAAAAGGTCTTAGGAATCCCGTGGCGTTCCACGGAAGATGGACTACTTATCTTGTGCAGATATCCAACAAAATCAAAGCTAACTAAACGTACAATCGCCGAACAGGTAACTGCTATATACGATCCTATGGGCTGGCTCACGCCACTCACATTAAGAGGGGACAATTTCTTCAAAACCTCTGGAACTTCAACTATACGTAGGACAATCCCCTATCAAAGAAACACAAAGATCCGTGGAAAAAGATCGTTAATGTTTTTAACGGATTTGGAATTTCATCCCACGAAAAATAGCCCAGATCGGAGCTTCAACCAGATTAATTCTCTTCGTGGATGCCAGCAAACATTGTATGGCCACTTGCACCTACATGGTTTCCAATCGCGAATTACAACTACTCGCAGGAAAGTCCAAATTACCATCACTCAAGGATAGCCCCACAATTCCTAAATTGGAACTAAATGCGTTTACATTGGCAGCACGGTTAACACATTCAATATATATAGCACTAAACAACCTCACTTCTCTCACAAATATAACTATACTCTTAGACTCAGAAATCGCTCTCAACTGGATACGGTCCAACAAGGCGCGCAAACCAGCAGGGGTGTTGGTAAAAAACCGCATAGAAGAAATACGCCGAATAGTGGAAAACATACCAACGCATGTACAATTTAGATACATAACCACTGATCGGAACGCTGCTGATTGCGCTACAAGAGGACTAAACAAAATTGAATTAAAAGACCACATATGGTGGAAAGGGCCAGCATTCATCAGGGAACTACACTCACAAAATGGCCAACGTCTTTTCACCTTAGAGCAAGAAAGCATGCAAAGGGCACAGGTATCCATAACTACAGCAATACCCACCACACCTGTCGAAAAATTACTCGACTGGAAGCGATTCAATAGACTTGCAAGAGCAAAAAGAACGGCCCCATATGTTCTCAGACTTATCAACAAAGCCAGCTCCAAGCTACGAAAGGAATTGCGCGACCGGATATACAAGAATAACCCGGCACTCCACGCAATGTCAACAAAACCATATGTCACGGCCATAGAGCAAGAAGCAGCCTTACGAGTTTTGATACGAAATCACCAAACAGTTCATTTTTCTTCACGATCTATGAAAGATTGCAAACATTTAAAGCTATATCACGATAAATGGGAAATCATTCGGTGCAAAGGCTGATTAAAAAAAGCAGACCTGCCACAGCAAGCTCAGCAACCAATTCTAATCAGCTCTAAAACGGCACTAGGAAAATTAATAGTTGTCGAGGCACATCTCCCATTCCATAATGCAACAAGCCAAACCATAGCCAAGGCACGTGAAAAATTCTGGATGACAAGCATAAGGCAAATTGCTAAGAAAGTTATAAGATGATGCCTACCCTGTCAAAAGATGAACAGTCTTCCTTACAATTATCCGCCGATGGACGACTTTCCGGAAAGAAGAGTGAGAAGAGAAGACCGTTCGAGCAAGTAGGTGTAGACTATTTCGGACCACTAACAGCGAAAAATATTGAAGAAACGGCAAAGGTCTACGGCATCATCATAACGTGTGCAACAACCAGACTACTTCATTTAGAACTCGTACAGAACGTGACGACAAATGATTTCCTGCTAGCTTTACGACGATTTTTTGCTAGGCGAGGAGTGCCCAAAACCATCACCTCTGATTATGCATCCAATTTCCTACTGAGCGAACAAATTTTACAAGATACAATTCTTCCCGTTATTAACGACACGTCACTAGCAAGTACAATGCCAACGAGAGGAGTAACATGGAGGACAATTACGCCGTATGCTCCGTGGCAAGGAGCATTTTACGAGCGTCTTATAAAGTCGGTCAAGCACTCTCTACACAAAGTATTGCAAAAGACGATCCTTATAACCGAAGAATTGGAATCCCTGTTGGTAGAAATAGAGGGAAATCTCAACAGTCGACCTCTCACATACTAAGAAGAAGATCCCGACAACTTTGTTACTTTGCGACCAATAGACTTTATCCAGCTCGACATGATAATAACATATCCGTTTGAATTCAGCAGGGAAGAAGAGGACTATAAAACGTATCTATTACACCAAGAAGCAGTATTACTACGCACGCGAAAGGAAGTGCAGGATGCCTTTGCATCAAGTCACAAACTCACAAAACGTTACTGGAACATTTGGAGCCAAGAATACTTGAAAAGTCTCTGAGAAACTCACAAACTCAATATAAACAACAAACGAGGCACTCGAATAAACCCAACCATAGGGACGTTGGTACTAATTCATAATCCAGCTTTGCCACGAAACGCGTGGAAAATGGCGCACATCATCGACTTAAAGCAGACAGAAACTGGTGCAATCCGAGAAGCACAACTCAGGTTACCGAGTGGATGTATCATAAGAAGACCAATTAACTTACTAATTCCACTTGAGCTGGAAGATAGCCCGGCACAGAAACGGTCCGACACAAATGGTGAAACGGAGCCGCCGAATAAAAATCCGCATAGCGCAGTTAAAATTCAAAGTGAACGTTATAATCTCCGACCTCGTTCACGTGCCAACAATGTGTCTATGTTCTCTCAAAGAAATCGTTCCCCACAAGTCGAGGAAGAACAGGAACCGAAAAATCATCGTTAAGAAAACGGTCAAGAAGGACGCGAACCGTTGTGCGCCACCACTATAACCTTTCACCACGAAACCCCACTCAACCTACAACATCAGTCACCACTCCTATAGAGGTAGGGGACTATAGAGGATTCCCCAATCAGTTAGAGAATTCTCTATCTACACAACTAATTCAGTCAGGGGATCGATGGAGACGGCGTAGCCGCAACGCCGCGCGCTTCCTCTGCGTCCATATCCCGTTCTGGCCATAGGGCCCACTGCTCGCTTGGACGTACCCACGCCCATTAGCACCATCATTTGGCCCGACGATGCCGTGGAGATCGCCGTCGCCAACTCCATCATTAATTTCCTCCCGTTTCACCTTACCTTGCGGATTTATTTGCTCAAGTCAATGATAGTACGTGTAATCCGTAGCTTTGCATCGCTGACATATTAATGCTATCGTTGGTTCTTGTGTAATTACGTTGTGTGCGTTAACATAAGTTAAATAACAATGTTATACCTTTTTTCTATTTTCTGCCTACTATAATTTCGCGGCAGGGTACTAAGCGAAATACAACCACAACGTTGCTGAGATATTTAGATACCATAGACACCTGCGGTCCAGAGTTTTGCAAATATCTCAGCAACGTTGTGGTTGTATTTCGCTTAGTACCCTGCTGCGAAATTATAGTAGGCAGGAAATAAAAAACGGTATAACATTGTGATTTCAACTGCAGCCGCAGCTTAACTGGGTTCTATGCCGATTTGGGCGCCCCAGATCAATCCCGCCGACGGGTGATTGCTGTGGCAAAGATCGATAGAAATAGCTGAGAGACAGGCGAAACAAAGGACCCGCATGGTGTGGTGGTGACGCGTTACTCCCTCGGAAAGGACAGTAGCGCGTTCGTTCCCCACCATAAGTTAAATAGTGGAAACCTCATAGAAAGCGATGAGTGTGCAAAGCTGTGTTCAAAGTGATTGAAATCTTGGTTTGGAGTTTCTTTGTTTGGTTATGAAGGCGTCTGGCCGAGTGAGTTGCTATCAACTTGACCTTTCCAGGCTCTGAAGAAGGCGAAATTCGCCGAAACGTCAGCTTAATCGTGAACAAAGAATAGTAACACCTCGCGTTTGCTCAACAAAAGTACGAATAAGTTAAATACTTTCATTGCTGACAGGTACCTCACAAACGGTTCATCGCTCTTGCGCGCTCTCGCGAACGCCTTTCACATTTTACCGCTGTGAGCCGTTACATTGGTGTGTGTACTATTGTTAATGCATTTTATTTGGTAACAAACCCACTGAACCACCTCATTCGCAGTTTATTGAACAGACATTGTGTATCGTATTGCGTTATTGTGTAAACATGTGTATACTAATAAGGGTTTAATTACCCAGGTTTGAGGCACTTTACAAATGGTTCATCGGTCTTGCGCATTTTCGTGAACGCTTTGTACATCCTTGCTTTGTGAGCTGTTACACTTCTCATCTACTGTGCGGATTCTAGCACTTCCTATATTCGATTCGTTTCATCGCATCAATCATCCACGAAGGTTATCCTACTTTAACGTGTGGCTTGCGCTGCTGTTTGAGGATTTTCATTTCATCTTGAATGCCATAGAGTGCTGGGCGAGTTGATTCTTCCTAGAGTCCTGAGACAACAGAGCGGAAGCGTTCCCAGTTGGATTGGAGAGCGTGGTTTTTTTCCGGACAAGTTAGGTACGAATTTCTGGACCCCGGAGAGAGCAGATGGTTGGTGAGCTCGGAGTGGGTTCGAATCAGCACCGTGCTCGCGATGACCTGCATCACTACCACTGTGATATCCTTTCCTGTTTGAAAATCTATAATACATAAACGGCCAACGATGATGGCACGGATACTATGCTCCAACAAAAGTCAAATATAAGACCAATTTTAGAAACGATACGTTATTTTTCGCAATGAAAAATCAAATGATCAAACTTGGAAAAATGATACGTCAAAATTACTTGTCGCAATTTTCGCCGTAGAACCCTTCATCACAAGCACAGTATCCGAACACAGGATCACAACGATCACCAGGGCATTTCATACGACACTTCAGCTCGCACATTGGGCCATAGTATCCTGTAAGTGCACAGATGGGTCCCGATCAGCCTCAAAGTATATTTACGGAAATACGTTATGAAGCAATTTTGATTAAGGCAGCAAACCGCAATACTCGGGCTAAGTGTCGGCAGTGTTAAAAATGTCGCAATGTGGAATGGGTGCTACTAATGCTAGGAAGGAATTCTGCGAAAAGCCGAAGGATGGGTCGACTGCAATTTTTAGGATTTCTTGCACCGTACTACACAAGTTAGGCACTTATGAGTCGCAATGTACCAAATATTCCGTCAGTGGTGACGATTGGCTACCGTGAAGGCTTAGCAACGCCCCTACACTGCAATTTAGATATCTCAGGGAACATAGCTAGGTAGTCTGAAATGATGTATTAGAACCACCATGATGCGCGGAAACGGATGTTTTCAGGCCCTTCCCTAATTTTTCGAATTTCCATCTGAACTAAATTTTGAATCGAACTGTCTGATCATGAATGGAGATGTTTCAAATAATGAGGTTTGTTCTCATGACGCGGTCAAAATATAGGATTATTTTTCCAGGGATAATACGCACTCGTAGAAAAGTGTCTAAAAAATAACGTCAAGAGGTAAAAAAGATTGTATTTAGATGTTTAAGCCGAAAAGCAAAGTAGTTTGGCCGCGAGAAAAATGGAGCACGATGTCCAGTTTAACTTGCCACTGTTACAAAATAATCCTCTTTTGAAAGCAATATACAGTATTCACTGCTAAAAAAACTGTGGTTTTTTTGGTTTCGCAAATCAACTTTTAATGTTCAACGTTTTACATACTGCTTGTTAATTCTTTTGCGGCAGTGTACTATGTTATATACAACCACAGTTATCCTGAGATATTTGAAAAGCTCCGAACGACTGGTGTCTACAGTGGGCATCGAACTCGCTGGTAACCATTCCGCGGACTAACGCGTTCACCACCACACTGTGCAGGTGTCCTCGTTTCGCTTTTCTTCTAGCTGTACTATATTGGTGCTATCAGCAATCAGGGCGCGTGTGGCGCAGTGGATGGAGACACCACTGCGACACACATGTGGAATTGATCTCTGCGCCCATGGCCCACCAAGCCTTCCAACTATCCGGGGCGGTCAATTGGTAGCAGACTTGTCTGGAAGGATAACAGCACTGGCTCGATACATCGGTGGGCCACCACAGGTCATTGTAAAGACTAGATATGCATTCATTCACCTCCAACGATACTTAATGATATCGAATGCATTTGGACCCCTCAGAGATTCATAAATGCCGGCAGCTTTTTTTTACCAGCAAACACCCGCCAACGGGATTAAAAAATACCATAAAAAACTAATAGGTAGTAAATGAAACGTTCGACATTAACATTTCGAATCCAGCGTCGGCTTAACTTGGTTCATTGCCAATTTGTGCGCCTCAGATCAATCTCATTGACGGGTGATTGCAGATAGATCCTGTAAAACACGGCTGAGAGAAAGCGAAGCGAAGAACCAGAATGGTGTTGTAGTGAACACGTTAGCCCCTAGAAAGTGTAACAAAGGCTCGATCGCCACAGCAGTCACCTGGGGTCCAGAGTTTTAAAAATGTCTCAGCATCATTGTTGCTGTAAATCAACTTTCATTTGAGCTCGACATAAATTCACAGTGTGTTTTTCAGATTATTCAATTTAGATGAGGTTATTAGCGAATTTTTCATTCGTCTAGAGTTTCGGCGCGTTCACCTTCTTCAGAGCGGAAATGGTCCAAGTCAATCGTTCACGTTCATCCTTGCGAGGTGACTCTGCTGTACTACTTAGTGAATTCATATTCAGATGAGAGGGCGTCGAAAAAGTCTTTAAATTCTCGCGATTTCGCTTTAGTTGCTGTTTGTGTTAAAAAGACTTCTTGTCGCACATTTTATTATCATTATTCATTGGGTGATGTGGAGGCAGAATAGTGAAATAAGATGGAATCGACGAAGTTAAAAGCTTATTTTATTGCGCAGGCTTTTACACCTTCTATTTTGACATTTCGTTACAAAAGAAAATTGTTAAGAAAGCCACTTTTTTCTAGTTTGCAATCGTGTGATGCAATAAATAACAGAAGTTGGAAGTGATGGAGAGAATGAATACCTGGAGGACATGGCCCCTGTGAGCACCCATCTGGTGAGTCACATGGACAACTGCCTGTCACCGGGTCGCAACTTTTCCCACTGCATCCGCACTCCTAAAACACTGCACTAAAAATCTTTTTGAAGAAATTATGCTTTTGGAAAATCTTGTGAATCCTAACGTTCATACTTGGTTGCATCCAGCTCCCCAGGTTCCGTCCGGACACACATCGTCACACGTAATGCCGGTAAATCCTGGTAGACATTCGCAGCTAGAGTTGTCATGTGAGCAGATGGCTGAATGATTAAGGGATAACCGATTGAACCTCAAAGCGCTCATCAGGTATATACAGAGAGTTCCAGAGTCCATATCCTTGGCAAGATTGAATGAAGACTGAGTGAAAATTAGGTTCATACCATGAACGATGCAGAATCGTTGGTACGAGTATCACTGCCTGTGCTCATATGCAATCTGATTTTCACTTCGTTTTCGCTTAATTTTGGTTTGTCATCCCGTAGCATCAAGAATATAAAAAATTGCACACAGAAGGTCTCGAACAATATTTGAGGGGTTAAATAATGGAAGGATAGCACCATTCCTAACTCTTTCTACTACAGGGCTGCGAACGGCAGTGGGACAGAAGACATAACTCCGTTCTATGTACGCACAGCATCGCTTTTATTGTCAATTTTCGAAATATTTATCTATACAGAAGCTGTGGCTATATTTTTCGGTAAGGACTAGGTAAACAAATCTTGTCAAAGCTATTTTACTGTAAGCTGCAGCGAGTTCAGTGTGAATGTGAATAAACGCAAATGAACAAAATTCCAATTAATCGCGCTATTCCTGACCATAGAGGCAACGCTGCTTTACTAATGTACTAAGCACATCTACGGCATTCTCTTCCTTGTTTTTATTTTTTGTCAAGTGGGAGATATTCATTTTTCACGACGGTCTTGCCTATATAACCGAACAAATGAAAACCTACCTCCGTTTTCGCAGTCGTCGCAAGTGTACTGACAGTGCGAGCCGAACTCTCCATTTTTACACGCTAGGAAAGAATGTTTTATGGAATAGTTGTTAAAAGTTAAAAAACTGATTACGCACTAAATACATTAGTTAAAGGTATTATGAGAGATATGTGCACAAGCTGCACTGCGCTAACCATTCACGGCACACCAAGGTTACTACCACAACTGCACCAAAATCCAGAAAAATATTCGGCGTGGATCTAGGTTTTTGTCGGTTTTTAACGCCACCTGTTCTGTCCCTAATAACTTTCTGTCGGCTAGATCAACTCCGAATTAGCTGGATTTCCGATAACAACCGTCAACCTTCTGAAGTGTTTTTGGTGATAAACAACACGTAGATAAACTAATTACATGGTCTACCTTTGTGAACGCGATTGAACAAGAAACTATAGACTGGCCGAGGACGTTTTGCACTGTCACCCGGGTAACTTTCGATACTGTCGATGAGAAGATCGAGTGAGTTACCGTCGATGTCAATGGTGTCATCAAGTTGTTTCCGATGAATAATTACGTCTGAAAGCACGACACAACCACACATTTCTAAGCAAAAGCAAACAGGTCTCACCAATAACAGCAGTGTTAGAAGTTCGCCAAAAGCAAAGTACGGTTAACTAATGCAAATCCTTCCCTTCATATAGTTAGGAGCTAAGAGGGCGATCCAATACTTTCCCCAGTATTACTGTCATCTTCATTCTATGAGAAATGTATGATAACTACTTTATTAGTAAGCACAAGTGATTTCTTAACGGCAGCACTTTTGTTGTGTTGTTTCCAAGATTTTGAAATCTCGAACGCTATTAAAATGAAACCGTGAGCTCGTTCAAAATTGCTATAACACATGCAGCGTCGGTGATAAAGCGCTGTGAAGTCAGCACAAATTTGTTGCATACGGTAGAAAAAACAAGGATGTTTATGTTTAGATAAATGCATAAATACCATGCTACGTTTCCAACTTCATGCAACTTTGGGTTGTTTCACACATCACATTAGCGAAAAGCTACTAATGTTTCACAAAAACGAGCTAAAATTCTAAGCGTTCAAGCTGCAACACAATGTGTAGTGAGCTATGTAAGTAATGTACGTAATGCTCACTTACGCGATGCCACAAGAGGTATGGAGGCAGAAAGAGCCGCTAAATTAAATATGTATGCATATAAGAATCAGGCACGTGAAGCACTTTTACTATGAAATGAAACTCGAAGCGATAAACGACGAAAGTAGTTCCGTCGCGTAACTATGTAAAACTCAGGATCTATCGTGAGTGGCATTCCACTCGTATCTGGGTCGACTTAACGACCAGTGAAAATGGATATGTACTCAAATCGACTGCGCGCGAAAAAATTGGGCGTCGAATGGGTCCATCAGGAACATAGATCTAGGTGCCGCATCCTAAGCATTAAGATTTCCTAGTCTGAAGAATAGAATTGCGACGAACGTATCACTGGCAGAAAATTTTTCAAGTCTGTCGTGATGTTAATGTATGGGACAAATCCAATTTCAAATCCTTGATGCACGCAAGGTTAGCTGACTCATACGAGTTTTAAAATCGTAAATTCCTAAAGAGGCTCGGTTGACGAGAGATTTGAAAAACTGTAAGAAAATAAGAAATATGGTAGAGCTTCAGCATTGCCCATCTTAACACTTGTAGCAAGGTACCGATCATATAAGGTTGCGATTTGATTTCATATAGTCTACATCACATTTTTCTTCAGACGTATAACTTCAAGGTTTGATTCTCTTTCGTTGAGAACTAGCAGACAATTGATTTTTTCACTGGGCTCATTATTGTCTCCGAGGAAAGCTAACACTCACCCATACAGGACTTGCCATCATTCGCCAGCACATAACCTCCGAAACACTCACAATGTCGGCCACCTTCATCATTGCGACATAACTGACTGCACCCACCGTTATTCACAAGGCATTCATTCACATCTGAAGCAGTTTGAATAGTTTGTTAGGGTACTTCAATAAATAACCTCCTTTTTTTTACAACAATAATAGTTGCGGACATGAAACAAGAGCGGTGTTTTCCCCTGGTTTGAAGCAGAATACGTGAATTGATGGCTCCGTTGTACTCACTGAAGTTTGTCGCACTTCGGATATTTAGAATAAGTGATTTAGAAATTGAAAAACTTAGAGGACGCTAAACAGATGTAAAAGAAACAAGTGAAGTTTTTTTTTAGAGACTAGAGCTATGCAAATAAAGAGCTACGCACATTGTATTCTATCCTACATTAGGAGATTTCACAAGAAATACACAGTTCTAATAGATCAGTTGATAAGAAGCCAATGAACGAATAAAGATTTCTGGCTTGGCATTGACAAAATAACATCGTTACAACTGTAAACGGCAAACCGTAGCACGAGCGACCGTCGTCAGCCAGACGATAGCCGTCCTCACACGAGCATTCGAAGCTGCCTTGAGTGTTGGTGCATCTATGATGGCACCCACCGTTATTCGACAAACATTCGTTAATATCTGAAAGATTTCCATATTCTAAGCACATATTTGCTAAAAGGCGAATATTTTTCCGTAGTTGATTTCAGAATGACCCAACAGTTTATTTATTCTAAAGTGACTTTTGCGTCATCAAACTTAGCATTCAATATATGAAGGTTGTAGCCGTCTGTAATATAAGGTGCAAAACTATTTCTTAATGAGAATTCTTTGTGCATAAAATATTTCCCAGTAATGGTACTAGTCATAGAAAAAGGGATTCGGCAAGACGACATAATATCGCCAGAGCTGTTTAGTTCCGCACTGCAGTGGATAATGGAGTCACTCGATTGGGATGCGAAAGTCTTGCGTATTGATGAGAAATTCCTGTCAAACTTTCGTTTTGACGACGATATCGTCATTTTTTCCAAAAGTACCAGCGAACAGAGACGATGATCGATGAGCTCAACGAAGCGGGAAAAAAGATCGGACTGGGCCTAAATCGGATGAGGACCCAGTTCATGAAAAACCCGCGGTGCGAAGGCAACAAATAGAACTGATATCATAGACCTCCCCGTACATATACCGTGGACAATAAATGAGCATGGAAAACGACATGAGGGAAGAATTAGACAAAAGATGGAGAAATGAAAATAGCTTGGGTTGCATTCGGGTCTCTCAAAGAAGCCACCGACCAACTGAAGGACCCGAAAATCTGCGCCCATGATTTCGATTCTGCAGTCCTCCCAGCGTTCTGTTATGCTGTAGAGACGTGGGCTGGTGCTTTAACTACATTAAGAATACACCGCAATAGTCACAGAGCTCCTGAACAATGTGTTCTGAAACATAACTGGAGCTCTCAGTATCTATCCGGAAAGCGAAGCTCTGATCTCTAAAATCTACCTCATTCTTGAGACCCAGGGAAACACGCATCGATAGAAAAACATGAGGCCGGTCATACAATGAGAAGAGCAAGCGACAGATAGGTGAAAAGAACTGTAGAGTAGACAACACGAAAATGCAGGCATATTTCATGACAACCACGTTCGCGTTCGGTTGACATGCCGGCAGCTAAAGCCAATCAGCTCTACTCGCTGTTGCACTTGTTTTACAGATCACGGTATGAGACTTGCACACACCACCATGCCCAAATAGAAGCACCACGATAAATGACGATTGTTAGGGAAGAAACGAATGGGAAATGTGCAAGGGTTCGCACAACTTGTGAAGACGAACTGCCCAAGTGTTAGTAATTAATGGCACTAGTAACGGCAACAGAGACCACTGAGACTAAAAGTAGGGAAAGTATTGGCCAAATTTTGCGTACGTAAAATGGTTAAAAAGCATAAGTCTCAGTTGAACGATCCATGCATAACACTCTTCAGCTGGTTTGCTCCGTGTTCAGCGTCCCACATAATCCTGCCTTTTATCGTCAGAAAACTGAGGCTTATGCACTTAGCCTTCTTATACGATACAGTTGTCGGCCGGCATTTCCTAGATTTTAACGATATCTCTGATATTAAGCATCCATATAGACCACGAATTTTATACATCATTGTAAACAGAGTGAGACCCTTGACAACATGAAAGTGGACACCTAATGGTTGAAAATGTTATGGCGAATAAGAAAACGGCTTATATGAGACGCTTGCGGAATAAATAGCTTAATTTGAAGATCATATAAACACCAATAGCAAATAAGAAACAATGCACCTTCACAAGTCTTTCGATCATAGGTCATGATGTAGCCAGACTTGCATTGGCATTCGTAAGAACCAGGAAGGTTAACACAAAGCTGTGAACAGCCGGCATTTCCAACGGAACATTCGTTTATATCTAAAACTAGTAAATTTTATTCGTAATAACTAAATTCCTATTAACTAACAAACTACGTGTGTGTAATGACAGTGCATGAAAAAGGTGCGTAGTTGACTACACAGAGACGATCTTTGCAATAACGGCTAGAACGTCACGGACCATCACTAGCTTCACGTATAATGAGGGCTTAATTCTGGATATGACACTGTTGAAACCTTTGAATAAATATTAATTATCGATAGCCCGTGTAGTGTTGTCAGTTCGCCTTTGATGTCACCACATTCTTATTTCTCACTACCAAGCGAAATTATCCACATAATCCCTGTGAAATTCAAAGCTGTGATTCTTTTTAGCTCGCCATACCCATTTCAGATCTATATTTGTTTCTTACGTTCTCGGGTTATTGGTCCCAGAGTTCTTTTTCCGATTTTTTGTAGGCTTCGTAAAAATTCAAACTGCTTCAAGTTTCGATGTTTTTCTTCAATAAGCAGACACGAGCTTGTTACTATAGAATTTATTGGGATATAGGAGCTGATGTTTCGGCGGTTTCACCTTTTTCAGAACCTGGAAAGGTCAAACTGAGATTTGATCTACTCAGCCAAACACTTTCATAGCCCTAGCAGATAAAACTTAAAGAATAAATTTGCATTCGCATTGTAAACAGCTTCATTTAAACACCTACCGTTTATTCGCTGTAAGTATTTAAGTTAGTTGATGGATAGCCGCCGCACAGACTAATACCTGAGCGAGGGCTGTGCCTGTGTCAGGTCATTGGATCAGGCTGATGTATGCCGCCAGGTCATGCATGATGACAAGACACTCCTCCTTCCGGTTCATTTTCGAATTTTTGGAATTAAGCAATATGTTTTGAACTGCCACCAACATGTGCACAGGTAGAACAGGATCAGAGGGAAGAATTCTCAAAACTAGCGCGCCAAATAGCCATTTCAAATGGTTACGAAACTGTAGCTTCTCGGCATAAGCATAGAGGGAAAACCACGCCCCGAAACGATAATTCTAGAAATAATAATGGTCCATTCACCTTTCACCTTATTTCAAACGAAGTAAGCTCAGCTGTAAAACCTTGCTTAACAAGAGGCGGTCTAGAGAATTCGGTTAGAGTGATGGGAATACCACTAGACACTCTAACATGCTAGTTTGTAACCGCCTATATGACCGTCTGTGTGCAACGAAAACTGCATAATTTGCCCTAACGGTAGAGACGGTGATTACATGAGCTCGGGTACAGTCTATCTGATCTCTTGTAGAGCGTGCAAACACTCCACTAGGCGCGCATAGGATGCAGGAACACAACGGAAAAGATTTTGAAGTTGAAGTCACTATCCTCACGTAGGAACCGAAAACATCAGCGCGTAAAGCTCTTGAAGCGTTTTGGATCAATTCCAAAAATTCAAAAATGAACCACAAGGAGGAGGGCCTTGTCATCACGCGTCTCCTGGCGCCATACCTCAGGCTAATCCAATGAATGAAGCTGTTTCTTATGCGAATATAAAAATGTTAAGTTTTATCTGCTGGGGTTATGAAAGTGTTTGGCTGAGTAGATCGTATCTCAATTTGACCTTCCGAGGCACTGAAGAAAGCGAAACCGCCAAGACGTCAGCTATTGTATCCTAATAAATTCTACAATAACAACTTCGTGTTTTTTATTGAAGAAAAACATCGAATTATCGATCAGTGCCGAGGTTAACAGAAAGTCTGTCATGAGAATTGCTCCAAGTTTGATTAATGGAAAGGCATCATTTTCTTGGAAGAAGGTATGCAATTAATACTGTAATGAGAGTATGGAACCATAGAGGAATGGCTTGTGTAAGGAAAATGGAAGGAAACTCCTCGCTACGAATTTGGAAAAAGAAAAACCCAGTGATCTTATAAATGGGGTGAAGCGAAAAAAAAACGGTGCAATTCAAACACTTCAAAATACGAAACAATTGGGAAAAGTAGAAGTTATCGCGCCACTCAGATGCCATTAGAATTCAAAAAGTTGCTTTCTGAGAAAATTCAAAGAACCGAAGGACTCCGATTTTTTAGCATCATGAAACTGATGAGCAGGATACCTACTTGAATTAGCTCTCAGTAACAAAAATGAGTTATCTATAACGCATAACAAAGTGTCTGGAAACACTAAATGGAGTTCTAAGTGCATATCTACTGTGAGGTGATTAGCCACGAATCTGGCAGAGCATCGATGGCAAACCCTAGCTACGCTAACCATCGCACGAATGCCGGTCGATTTCGTTGAGTAGATAACCGGCATTACAGTAGCAGTGAATTTCGTTCGATCGGTAATCCATACAGAGTCGATGACATAAACCCTGATTATGGAGACAAGCAGTATCATCATAAGCATCCGAAAGGAACGGCGATAAATGACGACGAGCGACATTTGGTATCTCTGAATCAGATCTGCTGTTAAACACCTCTAATTTTTCAACATAGACGTATGTTACGTGGGTATTGATTTGATCACTACGTTAACAATACGAGCGCTCATTGGCTCTCCTAAATCACGTACTCTCTGAAATGTGAAGTTATATAAGAGTAACACTGAGATCTCAGAATGAAGCTGACTAAATAATATTTTATGACACTGCGACTTTAATCCACTATCTGCTTCGGTATCCCTGAAATGCTTCAGGGTCGTTGAATTCGCAGACACTTAAAACGAAGTAATATAGGATTACGATTTAGAGAAAAATTCAGGCAGCTTTCTTTGTAGTTGGTAAGGAACTGCATTCAATTGTACTGCTCAAAAAATAAGCAACACTCACAATTCAGTTCGACTTAACAAACTTGAGGAGACTCCAAGAGTCTCTAGGAAACATTTATACTGAAATTAATAGGACTAACCAAAACAACTCGTCCCATCTGCAGCAAGATCGTAGCCGTCCCTGCATTTGCATACATGGTGGCCTTCCGGCTGTTCATAGCAGTCATGCTGACAACCGCCATTGGCTACTTGGCATCCTGTGAGCTCCTCATCACATGAACGACCGTCGTCGGCCAGTGTGTAGCCGGAACGACAGCGACACCTGAACAGGATCTGCTGATTTCTTCTGAACTGTTTCACTAAGCACATCACCGAAAGTTCTAGACCAACGCTAGAAATCAGAACACAAATTTTTTGCGCAGTCGAAAAGTCTGTGAAAAAAAAACGACGGCGAGACTTTAAAGCTCTTGCGATCCTCTTGATTCGATAAGTACTACCATTATATGGTATAGCACGGCTGCCTTGTTTTAAGTTATTTAAGAAAAAAAATTTAGAACGGAACAGCATTTGGGAGGAGATTCCACTATGCCACCACTCCAAGCCTAGTTGGTGACCTTAATTTTTTCGAGACTTTTTTTTGCTTAGGAGATGGTTGAACGTATTTGGCTTTCAGGTTCTCGGCACAATGGTGCAGCTTTTTTTTTTACAAAAATGTATAGTTTTCCGATAACTATAGTAATCTTTATTTCGTATGCTTAAGAAAAAAAATTAGCCATTTTTATCCAGACGCATGTCGATTTTTCATGTTAATCTCACATAAAAAAAAACTTTTCATGTAAGTTGAATAGGACGTTGATCCGTCCTGTATTACTCCTTCCACCGTTGGATGCCGATTAATTCAGCTGTCGGTTCCATTCTCCTTGTCGATGTCAGGGTAGCCAACGTGGTTCTGCTTGCTCAAGTACTTACAAATCATATATTCATTCTAGGGTCGTCGCAAAGAAGTCTGGCAAATGAATCAGTGGTCTGTCTGCTGTGCAGTCGACATTCCGCAGCATCCTCTGCCAATGACTTTAGTATATCGGTTGGCGTTAAAACGCATTACTGGTTCAGTAAAGCGGATTTTCGGATTTGTTTGGTTGCGTCTTTGATCATTCATAAGAGATAAGTGATCTGATAAGATAAGATAAGATCTGTGGTGTACAATTTTCCAGGAAGTATTTTAAGGCAGAAAAGGTCGCTGAATCGAAAAGACCGTCAAAAAGTTTGAAGAATTTGCCTTCTTCACAATAACCTCGATGCTCTTGCACCGTCTTGAATTTGCTCGTTTCTTCTTGCTCTAAAGAGATAACTTTATGGCGCTTATAGGCGTTCAAACCTAGATATTATGGGAACACAAACTAGCAAAGTATGGTTGATTTTGTTGCACTTTTGTCAAAAAGTCATCAGGAATTCGAATGCAATTTACTTCAATCGGATGTTCCACAGTTCTTCACAGATGAGATCGCACGTAGTATTTATTGAAACAGAACCGTTGAAATGGCTTGTCCATCCCCAATAAACTAATAAAGATGTGCCACGGAAGAATTAGAACAGATGCTGCGGATGATTTTCTCCATCACACTTCTGAATACAGTGACGGTTCACTCATTCGGGCGCCAGAAGACGATACTCTTAGCATAATAACTAATAAATTCTGAGACCCTTGAGGATACTCCTTCAGACCTCTACAGCCGTGGCAATTGCTGGAACACTTCTCGCCTTAGCTTGGCTTTCTACCACTTCTCTGCAGCGTTTTGAACCTCGGACGTGGGTTGGTATTTTCAGAAAATCGTGAACTTCAACGTTCGCGCATCAGTTAGAAGCTGAAGTTTCTGAGTAACTTTCGAACTTTCGAAGCTTTATTTACGATAACTCGTTGCTGAACAAGCCAATCGTACTACATGTTAAAGACAGCGGAGTCTTCCTAACACCGAAGTGGTCTGAGTCATAGCATGATGTTAGAGTATAAGTAACGAAGATTTTCGAAGCCGGCATCCTCCTTAATTTTTCCGATTGTAAACGTATGCTTTAGTTCGTTAGCTGGCCAAAGAAATTATGAAAGGCTCATACTGACAAGGACACCGATACTATCGTAGTTTCTATAAAGAGTATTCCTCCAGTGTTATTATCAGGGCTTAATTAGATGAGCAGTTCTTGCTCATCTCGGCCAGCCCGATGATTCAACGCTAAATATTCTTCGCATGCACTGTCAGCTCTTAAGTGCACAATTCGGATGCAAGTATGCTGGTATTATAGGCATGATCGCTACTATAATCTTTTCAAATTTAATTACACTACAATAGTAATAGAATAGAATAGAAATTTTAACAGAACTCCTGCACCCTGTGCTACAGAACGCTACTTATCGGAAGCCCTTTCAGGCTCAAGAGAATAATACACTTTATTACATTGCTTTGAGCAACTAAAACAAGCGGGGAACCTATTTACTATAGGTTATCCTTTGATATATCCAAAAATACTCTGTAGCCTTTTCAAAGGAAAAGTAGAGAGAATTTTTGGTATCCTGATTATGCATATTTGAGAGAGTTGGCATAAAGGATGCTAGCAGTATGTAGACAGCGACACTTAGCAGAAACTGTGAATCTATTTCCTCAGTTCACCAGTGTCTTAGTGAGAGTTAAAGCTCGTTTTGACCGATATTTAACCCCCTATAAACTAGTGAGAATGCTATACGTAGCACGGCAGCCGACACTGATCTCTCAAGTAATTCTTCGCATTTTTGTTGAGCAAACGCGAGGTGTTATTATTCCTTATGCAGAGGTTAATAGAAAGTCGGTCGTGGTAGTTACTGATCTCTCAGTAAGAGCCACTAGTGGAGTACATTATTAGTAATGTAGAGCTTATTTGAAACTTTTTAACGTGCAGCAGGTGTCAACATCAACGATGCATTTGAAAAATTGCCGTGTCCTCCACGACGAGATACCACTTGTTAAACGACTTCAATGTTCGAGATAGGAAATCGGAGAACAGCAACGAAAAAAAAGATGTTCTTGGGCTTATGCGAAGACGCTTTTGAGAAAGATATATAGCGGGTCTGGTAAGTTGCAGACATACAAGACAATGTTGCATCCAACATGGGAACAGAGTAAGGCTGACATATGAAAATCTAGTCACATTTTCTTAAATTTAAGCTCTAAATGATGCAAGTTTTATTTAATACCTAATCTTTATTGATTGCATGCCCAAATGTGAAATTCAACCACAGGAATGTCGAGATAAGAACGAAACCCAGAACCTCAGGTGGGACATCGAGCCTACGCTTAACTTTTCCGGTAGTTCACTTGATATCCAGTGCAGTAACCGAAGCTTTGCTTTACTTTTCTCTCTATTCTATACGCTCCCTCAGCAAGGGTATTCATTCCCGTTGACGATGGATTGCTGATAGCACAGATAGAATAAAAACGTGGTTGAGATAAAGGCAAAGCAAGGGCATCGATTAGTGCGATGGTTAGCATGTGAGAACCCGGTAGAGATAACCGCGGGTTCGAAGCCCAGCCGAGGTTCCAAGTTTTCCTCACATCTCAGGATCACTATGGTAAAACTCTAATTTTAAGAAATTGAAAACTTATTCTTAACCCTTTTATTTACTGCCTTTTTCTTTTTAATGGCAGGGTATGTTGCGAAATATAACTCGTATGTAATGTTGAGATATTTGCAAAACTCCGGACCCCAGGTGTATGCGTACACCTGCGGTCCGGAGTTTTACAAATATCTCAGCATTATATATGGAAACTTATTACTAGTCATAGTGAACACCTGTTCCACCTTGCTCATATGTAAAGCAAAGGAAAAGAGTTAGGTTTTCTTTATCTCTTATAGACTAATAAAGGTCACCATAAAGCTCGTAGTTTATAAGAATAAAAATAAAAAAGGGAAAGAAATATATATACATATACGTATATACAAGAAAAAGCAAGAAATAAGTCTTCGTGGTCATGGAAGAATTCGTAAGAGCAGACTTTTGTAGGTCTACGAGAAAAGGAATGTTTTAAGCAGCAAGTTATAAGTAATTCTTTAAGATTTGACCTGCAGCTGCTATGCTTCGAAGATGGGATCGACTCATTTAAACGATGTGAGCCCCACGATCAGCTTTTGATAGAAGCACACTAAGAAGCCTGTTACGATCTTACCTGTATGATCCGTAAGTGTTGATACATTCATGTTGACAACCACCGCCATTTTGAAATTTACACTCGTCGATATCTAATAAATATTGTTCACTAGGAAAACGTGCACTCTAAAAAGCTTTTCGCATATAAAAAGTATCTCATACCGACGCAGGTCTTTCTATCATAGCCCAAGCGGTATCCGGCAAAGCACTGACACCTCGCTCGACCGTTCTCGTTCACACAGTGGTGTTGACAACCGCCCTTGTTTTCCAGACACGGATCAATCGCTGGAAATACATTCCTCTTCAGCGTCAACGAAGTAAATCTGTATGTACTTACTCGTACCAAGAGTTTTTTGAGGCAGTTATCATACAGGCCACAAAAAACTGAGTTTCATGAGTGGGAAGGGAGTACAACTGGGTTGAAAATGTAGGCAGCATTAAAATGTATTCAAAAAATGACAAAACAATTCATTTGCCCAAAGACTGTTTTTTTTTCAAAAGCTTATAGTGCATGAAATTCAACAAGAACGGTGAAAATACCCTCCATAGCCCTACAAGTCTGTGAATGTTAGTTAACACTTTGAGCTTACCAGAACATCTCAATCCACATTTGTGAAGATTTTTAAAAATATATCGGAATGATCTTTGAAGTTATCAAACTTCTTCTTTGTGGTTTTAGCATTTTAATATGTAAACGAATAAATTCTAGAAAAATGCTCCAATCCGACTTTCTTCGACAGTGGTGAATTTGCAGACGTCCTCAGTTTTACGATGGGTGAGCATCCCCAACAACGACGGCATCAGCCATTGTTCAATGGGACAGTGATTTGCATTCATAAGTATTGTTAATTACAGCGGAAAACACGACATATGTTCTAGAGCTCATAATTTGATAAATGACATCGGACAAACGTCGACAGTTCCTATCTGTTCAAGTTTCTGCTCCCATAACAAACTATTTGCTATGATAAACTCTTCAAGAAGTGTATTTCAAACCGGCCTTTCTTCAACCTCGATATGATTAATAAACACATATTCTTTCATTGATAAGCTTGCACAGGGTTGACAAGAATGTTTGTTCAGCTAATGTTTCCGTCATCGTCCTCCTCAGAACTGATGATCCCAGTCGATGTCCACAGTTCTACGCGATCTCGAGGTGACGCCTTTGCCGTCGTATCGAATCAGATCTTCTTCAGTGGAATATCGCTCAAAAGAAGCAAACTCACACGGGGAAGCTCTCCAGGAACTCTTATAAAATTTTTTCAATAGTTTAGAGTTGTAATAAGTGCGAGAACTGGTTACGTTACTGAAGAAGTCGAGTTATCATGTGAATCACAAAATGGCAGCGAATCAAATCGAATCAATAACATAACAACAGCAACTTGAAGGAAAGAAAAATTCGATGAAATAATCAAGTAGACCGAACCAGCGAGACAGCCTTCATAGAAGTTTTTCGATAAACAGTTCGAGAGTAGAGAGCAGTCTAGAATATAGTCTACAATTGGAGTGAACACAGTTCCCTTCCATAGTTGTAACAGTTCTTTTGTTTTTTTTTATATGGCCCATCTTCACGTCTACTGCGCGGATCCCATCACTTCTCGCATTCGACTCGTTTTCTTGCACACACTGTCCACGAGGATCTCCCAATTTTTGCTTGTGGAAGTGGTTGCTTCTTGAGGATTTTCATTCCACTTTAAATGTCGTAGAGTGGTTGCCGAGTCGATTCTCCCAAGACTCTGGAGACAGCCTGGCTTAAGCGTTCCCAGTTGGATTGTAGATAGTGATGTTCTTTCCCGGAGAAGTCTGGTAACAATTTCGCGGCCCCGGAGGATCAGAGGCTTGGTGGATGTCGAGCGGGACCAAACCATCACCATGCTAGTGATGACCGGCATCACTGCCACTATGTTATCTGCCACCTCTTTGGATTTCCAAGCAGGGTTTTTTTTTGAAGTAGTACTGCAATTGATAGCTTGTCAACTGACAACTGACAACTGGCGATCTGTGCCTTGTAATACTACTGCAAATAAAGCTTGTTTGAAAAATCACGGCGATTTTGCATTTTCCAGTTTTCGTCCTTTTATTAAATAATCTTCTTCAGTCTTCTTTAAGTAAAATTTATGGTCTTGTGTTCACACGATATGCCAATCGTGCTGGTAATACCTCACTTTTTCTCTCAAGATTACCTGCATAGCTTCTCGCATAAATCTCGACCTTGAGACAGAAATCAAAAACGAAGAAAGAGGACTGGAGTGCTACGCATTGCACGAATTTAAACACTAGCCTTAAAACGAAAGAAATATCGGCGATGGCCTTGGCTGAATGATTTTTCAACAGTGCCACGCTACAACATCGATTTCAAAAGCTCCATGTTGCGGAAAATTCACAGAGAGGTGAAGGTCGTGGGCACAAGAATTTGCCAATAGCGATGTTCACTGAGGATTAAAAGAGATCAATCCGTCCACAATGGCTCGAAAGCTTTCCAAAAGCACCGGATGCAAGTATAAAAAAGTAGTTTCGAAACTCTTCGATTGATTTGGAGATGCGAAAAATTTTATAAATGGATGCTTAGTGAATTCGACCAGTACGAAAGACATTGTTGCGAAAGCTGTTCTGCACTTCCCTCCAGCAAACACGAGTGGTCTTTTTCGGACCATTGCGACATGTGGATGAAAGCGTATCTTCTACGATAAATGACGACGTTCTGGGCAAAGATGGACAAAGATGAGGTGCTGAAACGCCTCTCGAAAACAAATTTTCGTCAAGTAAATGCTAGCATGACCTGTCCTTGCTCAGCAAACAGGATGACAAGGCAGAATTTTTTGAATCCCAGCGAAAGAGTTATTTTCGAGAAGCAGTGTCAAGATAATTGTGATCGATACTAATTAGTCGAAGGGAGTCCAAATTTTTAACAATAATGTCTAAACAGATGTTGCACAAATCACATGATAAAAACATCTAATCAGCAGATCTGTCACTATTAAGATGCGATAACTATTTACAGAGAACGAGAGTGGATGGTCTTTAACGACTAAGTTGTAGATGAAATTACCTGCAAAAAATCGTAAGCTAGAATATTCAGAATTTTGCCACAATGACTAGGCGCACTTGTACCTCTGAAGCAAGGATATGTGGGTCGTAATGAATTTTATTGCAAGCAATAGCACGTACTGGGAACGATGTGTGGTATCCAGGGTGCGAAGGACTGTGGACATCGCCACGGATTATTGGCTGGGAGGAAGACGAAGACCTTAGCCGAATAAAACTGTAACAACCTCGTGGTTGCCTATTAATGAAAGAATGCATGTTGATTAGTCATACGGAGGTTAATAGAGTGCCGGTTTTTGAAATATTGCCACTCTCTGTAGTAGCCGAGTACAGACTTCAACAGCATGGGCTGTTCGGGAATAATAAGCTGTTATCACCACACAGTCCCCACCATCAACAACCGTCTCTTATGAAAGAGTATCGCTGTATGAGATTGGCTCACTTGAGCGGTGTTCCAGTGAAAAAGGTCTGAGTTAAAACAACGACGAAGAAACAACATCGAAAGTATAAAGGTCTTTGGAAATCTACCTGAATCATAGGATCTGAGAAAGATAAAAGTGTCGAAACGTTAGCCGAATAAAGTTTGCTTATCAACCTCTCGTTAGCTTATCAGTGAAAGAATACATCTTGTAAATACTAGAGCTTGTAGTGTTACAATTCAGTTTCTTTGATGAGCACACACGTGATTGTTGCTATACTCCTTATCCACAAAAGGTGATGTTCCAACGATTGCACCTTCTTCAGAGCTTGGAGAGGTAAAATTTGCTGCACTCTAGTCAGACAAATACCTTCATGATATCAACAAAGAAATCACGAAATCTAGCTTCTCCTTCGATTTTCAATTATTTTTACGCATTAGAAGTTGAAGGTTAGACAACCAAGGCTGCTTTTCTAAAAGAATGAAGGGTGCTTCATAAAAGGAATCCACTGCATTTTCGACTCCCAAACGTGGTAAATGCTTTGTAAGTTTCTGAACCTCTTATATGTAACTTTGCACAATTTTTCATTGATAAAACTCACGATGGCACTTCTTTTTGTCGTCACCGAGCCGATATCCGTGCTTACACTTACACCGAAAGAATCGACCATGTTTCTCTTCACAAATTTGGTCACATCCGCCATTGTCAGCTTCGCAGCTATTGGAGTCTACAAAGTTCAGTACTTCTATTTTCCTCATATATTAATTCGACAAGATGGGGAATTTTCGAAGAACTAAGCTAACCCCTACGGTTGAACAATGGGTGCCCTTTCACCAGAAGTGGAAACAACAATCTTCGTGCGAGGCATACGCTTCACATTGAGTAAGCCCACATGGTGGCTCAAGCATGTGATATGAAACAGTGCAAGAAAGTAAAGTGAGTTACTCATGAATGGAATATGGGAATGATTCAGAGCTTCAACAATACATCTATAAAAATACCATTCCTCAACTTACGGGGGTAAATGGTATAATTGCTTTTCTACTAGTTTTGGTAAGCCATTTCAATAGAAGAGGAGCATCTCATTTTTATCCTATATCTCTAGCATTCTTTCAGTCGCTTTCTTAACTGTTTCTGAAGAGGCTAGGTAAAAAAATATGGGAGGAAATAAATATTTCTTACCCACCAAAGCATAATGTCACTAATTTTTTTTCTGAATCGCTCTTGAAGGTGAAATATTTAGCGCCCATTTCTCAAAATATTTTCTTTTCTATAAAGGGGGGCGTTTAAAGACAATCGCTTGCTATCACTGGATACAATTGTTTACTCGGTAGATTTCTCGAGTTACCCTCCGGTGAAAACTAATCGAGCGGGGTCAAGCACTTGCCAAATCCGGCAATGCGCAAACACAAATGTAGCATTGTTTGAGAGGCAGTGAACATGAATCAGCGCTGTTAAAGCAGAAGTAAACTGTTGTTGTTTGGACTGGGGCCCACTGTGAACTGTAGATGAGCACATAAAGGCTGAAGTAGACACAAGCTAAATTGACAGTTTATAGAAATTTACTAGGAAAGTTACTAAAAGTTCATGTTGTAATCATACCAATACAAATTTTTCCCACCACTGTCTGTTTTCTCTTGAATTTCTCATTAAGAGCTGTTGCTAGTGGATGAGTTGGTCAATAGAGATCTCTCTGCTCGGCTAGTAGTCCTCATAAAGATGAACGCTTTCGATTGCAAAACGTGAAAGGTTTCGTTAGTTGATGGTCCCCAAAAATCATCGAAATAAGCAAACGACAAAAATATAATGCAAACAGTCTGGATTCACTGTGTGAGACAGTTCTGTTGCTTGTCATTGCACATTGAAAACGGTCTTTTCCTTAAATTTTCGTTTTAAAGATTTCTCAGGTAACTTGTATTAAAAATTAAGCGGCACTGTTCTCGAAAAGCCTACACAGCAGATATCGCTCATAAAACTTAAATTCCTGAAAAATATTTCCCCTTTCCGAATTTTAAATGCATGAAAGTTTCCTGCCTGCCTGAAAATGCCTCTCAAGCTAGTTCGCCGTAAAGCAAAGCTTTATGAGGAATGAATATATTGACGGCAACGTAAAGTCGAATAACAGAGGAATGAGAAGCAGTCTCTCCAAAACGGCATAAAGCTGCTCAAACAAAATCGTTCTCCAAAAGATGGTTCTTAAAGTTCAAATCCTACTGTTAGTACTTGCGGCATAAGACAATCAAATCAATTCCAGAAAGCAAAAGAACTTAGTCAATTGACCAAATAATACAAAGAGTTTTTATTGTTTATCCAGAAACCCGGATGAAGCAGGCATGCTTTTGTTTTCTATCATCTATACAGATGTTTTTGCCACCCACCTACGCATTTTCTGCCACCAGAATTCACTTGCATGCCTGGCGGACACTCACAACGATGACCGCCTGGTGAATTCACACATCGGTGAGAACATCCACCATTCGAAATCGCACATTCGTCGATATCTGATGTTTAGTGCGATTACGTACTATCAGGTTAATCTTCGCACAATTAAGTTAACTTGACTCTACTAATCCGTAAGGATAACTACAGAAGAAGAGCTACTACGATTTTAGGTGAACCAGAAATCAAAACCTTCTTTGAATTTCACACAAAGTTAAAGATGTATTCAGTGCGAAGTACCCTACCTTTACAATGTTTTCCATTCTCTTCTAGCTCAAATCCAGACCAGCACCTACAGTAGAACGTTCCGATTGTGTTCACACAGTCGTGATGACATCCTCCATTATCAACAATGCATTCATTGACATCTGAAGGTAACCGTCAAGCTTCTGAATTACTGTTAAAGACGAACAGTCAACAATTTCAACCATGACCTCTACAAGCAGTCAAGCAGTCATAAAACTGCTTTGTTATATAGGAATAAAAATTGTAAGAACATTTTCAGGATAAGTAGGATGGATGTAGTAGGATGAGAAGGGTGCAAGCTATAGAGCCCTGTAAACCATTGAAGACAAAAATACCATATTGACACTTGGCACCAGTGAAGCCAGCAGCGCATTCACAGATGTCCTCAGTTCCATTGCGGAATGGTATGCATGTTCCGCCGTTGTGGCATAGGTCGGAAGTGCAGTTGGCTGAAAACTAATGACCACCATCTGTCACTTTCTTTACAAGGAACTTCATGTGAAGTTATGAAGTTCACTCTTGTTTTACCCAATATTCGTTCTTCGTTATGATGGAACGATTATTTCATGGGAAAAAAATGAAAACATTACCAAATGGTGAAAGTATTTGTGTTTTCATTTCAAATGGCGTATACTGTCACATACTGTGCGGAGCCAACTCTTAGTACATTCGGTTCATTAGTTTCTGTCCGCCATACAAGAAGATTTTGGGGTTTGGGTGCAGGTTCGGCTACGCTAAGAATAGCTAAAAAGTGAGAAGAAAACTAATAATTTAAATATTTCGTTTCAAGCGAGCAAACTACGTGTGGTTTTCAAGAGACTGTTTCGAAATGGTTTTCTATGAAACGTTACACACGCTCTGAGAAATATGACTGAGCGAAGATGGTTTCCAAATACAGCAATCTGGAAAGGAAACCTGAATAGAATTTGTCTACCACTCTGCACACCATTTGATGCCACAATTAAGCACTGATATCTCTGAGCTATGCGATATTTATTTTTCATTAGGCACACTGTTAATTAATAACTAATATCTTACAGACTGATCACATTACCCTTGGATATCTTACCATAAAGTTCGCCCTGCCTAAGACTATGAAATTTCTCACACTCTTTCTCCTACGCACTGCTTCTAAAGAACTCTTTATTCTGATAACACCTTTTTGCCAAGAGTGGTGGGCTGTATTACTCACCTTTCCTCTCATAACGCTGATATGTGATACCTTGACCTTTTCAATCACTTATATTTGTTCTCTGTTGATGATGAATAGTTTGCGCCCACGGCCTGTTGAAGAGAAATATTTCGTCTGTGATCCACCTTGTTCTTCTATTTCCATCCCCATATCACAACAGATCCCCATGAAACCTCCATATGACAGAAGCAGTTGCGCGATCGCTTTGTCAATTGCCCGAGCAAACACACACTCTTCTGTCATAAGACGTATTATTGCGCCCAGAGACAACACTGATCCAATTTCCGGGTGTTCTAACCCTTAGAGAGTTTTCTTGCTTGAAATGGTCGAAGTGAGGAGATTCAGAATCTGAAGCATCGCTTATTCGCATAGCCACGATCGTCTTCTGTTTATGCTGTTTTTGCAAAAAGAAATCCTTGGTGGAAAAAAAGCGATGTGGAAAAGTTTTTAGCACCATCTAGAAAGTCAATATAATTCAGACAGGAGAGAAAAGTAAAATACTTATGAAATAGTGAGAGGAAGCTGTCGGAGGTTGAGAAACTCTTTTATTCCCAGATACCGACCTTAGTGGAAACCTCCTCACAATCTTGAATAATATAAAGCAATTTTCAGCTGGTTTGTTTAAAAATTTTATCAAAACTTTCAGTCACTGCTGCTCATAGTCAAAGTGTAGAGAATCCCTTAACTGACGTGTGCAGTTTAAAGTTCATGATCGGTAATAATTTGGTGCACGGTCTAAAAATCAGATTAACATTGCCTATACGTCTGCCGAAGTGTTTGTTCTTCTTTGCATGGTCGACCAAACTAACACCATTCCTCATTACGTTCTTTCACCACTCTTCTATACTGAAAGCGGCACTTATTGGGTAGGCCATGAAAGATCTCAGATGTATTTGGAGGGCTGTTCCTGCACTTATTAAGAGGCTCATCGTTGTAGTTACACTTCTGAGATGCCCACTGGAGAAATTCTCCTCCGTCAAGGCCATCACAGTATGTTATTCGTCGGCGTCTGTAGTACGTGATGAGCGCGATCACAAGGCGATGCCCGCGCGAATGGACTTCGCAAAGGTGCCGCCGTTGGTCTTTACGATCTGCATGCATGACATATGATTTCGTAGCCGCCAACACATTGGCCCTTCAACAAAACTCGTCATAAATATATAATTTTGCGAAAAAATGGAGGAGAAACTGCTGCAGGTGGAAAGTGAAGCGACCGTTGTTTCTAGAGTTTTTTGAAAAAGAATATATGGTCATTAATTGCATAGTTGTAATGCTGTTCTAAAAATTCGTAAAGATTTTAGATCTAAGGTATCGAAATTTCAAAAGAAGATAGAGATTCATTACGGCTTCGCTTCAGCTCATAAATCCCATTGCGATAAACTTCCAACATAACTGGATTCTAAGCAGCAGAAGAAATGCTGGAACATTTTCTTAACTTGAGCTTTAAAGTTTTATTGAATAACAGCTTAGTATTTTGAATATGAAAATAGCGACTAAATGTTGCAATACGATAAGATAAGGTGGATTCTTGTCTTTTGAGCATAGATCGCTTTTCCTGCTAGCCGATGCATTCATCTCCAGTCAACACCAGGATATTGTTGAATGCTCTCACGACGTTTACGTCCCTCCCGTTCGCCACATATGCAGCGATAATTACCTATTCGTTAATGGTCAAAGGGGTAGTGGTGGTTTATGAATGATAGATGAGCGCGACAAAATACGCCAACATCACCACTACCGTAATCGACGCACGTACGTTATCGACGTGCCAATAATCGTAAATGAGCAGGTGTGCTTGTAAGCAAGGATTTATTACAGAATGAAACCATGAAAGTGTTTGCATATCTTTTCGCATCTGAGTAATTTTGGGCGGGTCCAGTGCAGTGGTTAGAGATGCCTTTCCATACCATTGCGGTCTTTGGTTCTATCCATTGTCTCGAGCTCACCGAGCCTTGCACTCCACCGGAGTCGAGAAGTTGACGTGAAAATTGTCTGGGAGGATAGCAACGCTGGTCTTATACATTGGTAGCCCACTTCAAGGTATTGCATGTGACAAATATGAATTCATTCACTTCTAGCGAAGTTGAATGCACAACGTAGCTCTCACAGATTAATCACTACAGAGAGCTTTATTCGTTTTACCCTCTATTTTAATAATTTATATAAATTAAACCTATAGCACACTTTAAAGTGACTTTCTAGAAATACTTTAATGCTGTAAAGACGTCAAAATACGTGTATTGTTTTTCCATCTCTTGGCTTCAATGTTCCTACCTCGTTCACATCCAACTGTTCCAGGCACATGTATCCATCCTGGACAACAATCTGCTACAGTATGCCTCCTTGTCCTGTTTACATTTTTGTATGTGTGGAAATAGATCGTCCTAAATGGCGAAAAATTGAGTTTTGATTTTCAAACAATGAAGGAGTTTTATTTTATGTGCTTACAATAAGCGCATTGAAAACAGCTTCAATTTTTGAGACCACCTGAACTGTGGGTCACATTAGCGAGCAGTAATGGGAGTATAGGGAATTTCGTTCTTTCTTATCATTTAAAGAAGACAGAAGTTGTTAACTGATGTGTCATAGGAGACATTAAACGCAGGTGAAATGGGGAGAAAGTAAATGGGAAGTGTAAACGTTGTCGTCTCGTTTTTTGTTCATCTACTTCTTTGTTACATTAGAAAACAGTCTAAAATGGTCTTCTACACTCCACCTTCGCCTATCACATTTTCATGAGCTTCTTCTTCTTTACTTGGTGCTGACTGAATGAATGAACGTGTGGACTGTTTTTTGGTAATTCCGATCACGACCACAATAGTGGATTAAAAAAAAGAAAAAACTAAACAAATTTTTGCTATCTGGGTCGAAAACGCAGAAAATTAGTTTTTTAGAAGGCATCTGGAGAACACTGGGATATCAATCACAGTTTCGGTCTCAAAATTGCAATTTGTACGGTTGCCCCCAAATGATTCAGCCCATCTCACTCAAGGTGAAGAAAAAAGGAAAAACACCGGACGCATTCGATTTTCTAAGATACTGAATGAATGAGATCGATTTAGAAATGTATAGAAAAGCATAAACTAGGTAACCGCTACGTCGACAGGCTCCAAAAACGATCTGTCCAACATCCTGAATAATGTTTGGTAACTACGACTGCGTTTACCTTCCCCGGAGCAATGTGCTCACCTCATGTGCCTCATTACTACTCCACTGACAGCAATTTCATGTCTGTTATTGCCTACCGTAGTTTTTTTCGCTCTTCGCCATTAGTTCTGTCCTTACATCAACTTGTTTTTGACATTCTTTTTCCTCCTCCTTAGATCAGTAAAACTTCGATTTACATAGCTTTTTTAATGTTTTTCACCGCAAAAAGAATAAAACATCCGCTATAAAAGCGTTATATTTCGACTTGTGACATGGTTTTAATTGAGAAGATTCTTATAAAACTGGTCATCTTGCTAGTATTAAGACTTCAAATTTTTTCCAAGTTTTTAAGGTATTATAAAGATTTCGACTACAGCCCCAGCTTAAGTGGGTTCATCGTCGATTTCAGAAAACTAGTTGAGAGAAATATTTATTTATATGACCTTGTGAACTGATCTTCTTAAACTGACGCGAGGTTGGTACAGGTCTTCGTTGTCGTTGGTTTTGATGTTGTTGGTCGATGGTTGACGTTTCGGCGACTTCGCCTTCCTCAGAGCCGTGATGTTACGTGTGGGACTTTTGCAAATATCTCAACATCATTGTGGTTGCATATCATTTCACTGTTTCTCACGAATAACTGGAGTAAGTGGTCGCTAGTGAATGGCTAATTACAAGGTGGAAACTGTGACGCAATGGCCTAGTCGCCACAAAGGTTATCGTTCATCATCTGTCGGTGGAACCTTATACTCAATTCAAACACTATCCGATAACTGCGAGAATGTCACATATATCGATAGAAATACCAATCAATCGAAAAATTTAGAAGGACTCTGTTAGCTGGGACCGTTCCGAATGGCAGTGAACTCTGTTGTTCACCGACTGGCCTCTGCCTTATCAACTTCAAGGATTTTTCATCAGGCAGTAGTTATTGGTCGCAAACATCAGCATCCTACGTTAATACTTAAAAGCTTAGACAACCTGTATGCGTTAAATTTATGCAGTATTCAAACAGCCACAGCTTGTACGGAAAGTGGTACAAGGTGTTTCCTACTGCAACATTAATACTGTTTTCACATATTTAAGCATGTGTGGCGTGTGGCGCAGTAGTTGGACGTATCCCGCAACAAACATATAGGATCGATCCTCGTGCTCGTGGCTTACCAGACCTTCTACCCTTTTAAGCTCGACAGATTGGTACCAGGCCTTACTTGGAGGATAGCAGCACTGGCCCGATTGATCGGTACGCTACCGAGAGTCATTGTAAAGATATGCATTCAGTCGCTTCCAAACGATGCATAATGAAGTCGGATGTACGACGCTACCATCAAGGATTGATGAACGCCGAGAACTTTATTCTTTAATCCTTTATGCATGGCTGTATGTTTTTATGCGCTGAAAAACCGTTTTCTAGAGAGTATCTAGTTAATCGACTTGAGTCGACATCCATGGAACAGACGTAGTGTTATAAACTGGATGTAAGCTTAATTTAGTAATTTGATTTTGAGATTTTGCAAAACTTTTTACGTAGCCCACAATTTTGCTATTATACAGGATTTTGGGTTCTCCGCCCCATACGAACTTACTTCGGCTCTCTCACTGAACAGCTCTTGAACTGGCCATTACAGCCCGGCTTTCTCGTCCTCACATACTTCGTGTACCGTTCCACACACGGCTGCTTTACCGTAACGATTTCCACTTCTTCATGAGGACATACGTTTTTTCTGGAATAAAATTGAACCATTACCGCCCATTTTGAGAAGATCATTAAGCAACATGTTCAACAACACTAGCTGTAATAAAAGGGTAACCATCTGTTTCTGAACAATTCAATTTTAGAACAACTGGCTTCTTGAGTGTTTCAATTATCGTTTCACTCTTAAAAATACTTTATATTGATAACCAGGATACAGTTTGTGAAATGTTATATGCAGTTTCAAAAGATCTATAAACCTAACATTCGCGAGCAAACAGTAGGCCGTTCGACATTCCTTTTATAATGGAGATGTGCTTCCCAGATTGGCTCAGTGGATAGCAGCTGTGACTGAGAGTACCACAATACCGATCATCGCCAGGTTTTCGTGGACATTTTAGGAATGGGTTAAATCACTAATAGAAATGGTTTCAAAAATTATAAGAAGAACAAGAAAATAACGAGGCACCTGTGAAAAGATACTGTATTGTTCAATCTTAGATAGATCTTTTTATTGCGAAAGTTTTCATAAACAGTAGTTACAAATTTACTTAACACTTCCTATATGGTTGCATACCCTCCTAAGCAAGGTAATCTTTACCGGTGGTTCCAAATTAATCGTGACCTAACCTCCTCAACCACTCAGCGATACTGCGCCTTCGACTTTGTGGTAATCCTTCCACATTGAACCTTACATAATGATAACTGCTGATAAGATAGCAGAGAATCGGTGATAAGTAGGTCATCGTTATAACTGAGTAATGTCCTGTCATCACTAAATTTAATGTGACACCTTTGTCAACATTGATGTTGCTACTGAAGATTGCTAAGATTCTGAAGTAAGAGTGTGAAAAAGTGAGGTGCGAGCACTTCAGCTCTCATAAATGCGGATAATAAAGTAGAATAGAAAAAAGGGCAATCGCGAGGTTGTTATACAGCATGGGCTTACTTCCGTTTCGGCAGTATCGCCTTCTTCAGTCAATCGATAAATGGCAGCCACACAGTTTGCCATATACTGATTGCCATCTGTATAGATTTCCATCTTTCTGTATGTGTTACTGAAGGGTTTAGCGTGGTAAATCGTATGTCAATACATCATTTCAAGCTCTGAAGAATGCGATGCCGCCGAAACGTCAGCTACTGTTATATTGTATGTGTTTTGTACGGAAGTAAACTTATGCTGTATAACAACTTCATGATTTCTAGGAAGGAAAGCGACGCATTGATATGATCCAATGCCGAGCTTAACAGACAGTCGATCCCGAGAACTGTTACAGAAAAGCAATAATTTATTACTAAGTATTAAAATCTCCCAATGGCTTACTGCCTCATAGTGACTAGGAGGTGTTTTTGGATGTCGAGCTGCGATGTACAGCTGAGAGATCCATCCTCCGGGTAAGGTCTCCCGAGCTGAGAAGGAGACCGGCGTTTCCATCAGGTAGCCCAACTAAGATAAACAAATAGCATGATCTAACACCGTCCTGGTATCAAACTAGTCTCACGGTGGCAAATCTTCTTCTGAGCCACAAGGGTTGCGACTGCCTGTGGTAGTGGCGACCTGGGTCAGACTTTGGCTAAGCAGACCTCGGGATTCCAGGGAAACACGGTGGCTAAGCCAGCAAAACTCCGAAAAATCAGGCTGGGGCTCGCATAACCAGTGAGGTGGGGCAGTCCAAGTATGCAAGTAAATAAGTATTAAACAGGAAAAAACATGGTAATATACTCTATGAAAAAGGTAGGACGTTTTATACAGACTCAAAAATGCAAAAACTTCTACACAACATATAAAAACCTGGTAAGGTTTATAAAAGTACAAAGGCAATTGGAAATGTTGCGAGAGTTTAGCATGTCTTCACGATTTGCCCTTATTAGAAAAGTTCAATGAACTTAGAATTTTTAGCAGCTTACGATCTTTCGTATTTGTTTCGGTGAAAAACGTTTTCAGAATTTTAAAAAACTCTCTGGGGTGCCTAGCCACTACCGTAATGTCTCACTGTTCGGGTGGTGAAAGAAGGCAATTCTTCCGATTCATTACACATCACCGAGCCACATCGGCTCTTGGAGTCGGCCTCTTATCTTTCTTAATTGCATTAACACCTCGATGGGAAAGGACTCCATGGAACATTCTCTTATCTGTCTGAATCATTCCAACCAAAAATGAACATAGCGGTATTTTGCATGGTGACCAATGGGCAAATAAATCTGAGAAAGGCCGGTAAAATTTAAGCACTCCTTTATGCTGAATTACAAGGAGTAATTAAAGCCGAACTCAAGATGCTAATACTCTGAGATTAGGATTTTGACTTCATTTCCAAGTAATTCATAGAGGTTACTTCAATGATGAATATCTAATCAATGTTTGCTCTTAAAAATATGTTACGTAGCGTACTAACAGGAACATTTAAGGATGCTTGAGAATTCATGAAATACCATTGCTTTCAGAGAGGGCAACTTATTTAATCATAATAAGATTTGCAGAAAAGCATACGAATCCACCAGCTTTAGCGGTATCAAAAATGAAAGTTTGATTTAGCTGTGGATCTAAGCGGTCATAACTTGGTTAAACATTGTCCTGATAGCTACTGTTTAAATTTTACATAGGACGGTGCGCTATACCAGATTGGAAACGGAAAGCTTAACTGCACCATGCCTTCACAAACATTCCACAAAAGTGCGGTTTTTGAGAGCCATTGAAATCTATCGCCTGTATCACCTGCTATCTTTTATGATCGAGTCACTCGAGCAAGCTCGAATGATTCATATTCTTACTCTATTATCTTCGTGAAAAGTTTGACCATCAGTCTGGTGGTTTCCCATCAGTACGCTTAAAATCCTGTGGGACACAATCGCTAAAGCGCTAAAGGTTATAATCATCTGGCTGTCGTGAAGATGGATAGTATGCACAGTCTATTTCTACAGTTTGACAAATTCGACGAAACCGCTAATGGAGACTAGTAGTAGCTTCATTAGATGTTTGAGCACAACTGTTTCCTAATCAAGTTTTCGACAGCCTTTCACAGGCTAGCTAGCATCAATATTTGGAACGGTGGACTGATGTAACAGCATATTCATCCTCGCCGACCTGACGTAGATACCGCCGTCACCGAAGTCGAAGTATCAGTCATGCACGACTTTCTCCACTGCCTTTCTGGCCTTTCTTGATACAGTCATTTTCCCACGTATTGGACAAATATTAAAATGGAAAATTTTCCTTTGGAGGTTGAAGATGTTCTTCCAAACCTGTACATCTTCAGTATATTGCCGTATAACCGAGAAGATTTTAGAAGTCTTATTGGTACACTTTTTCCGATAACACTTTATGTACTTTAATATACTTGTATTGTGATGACAAGGTGTTAGCAAAGTGCAAGGTCTGAAATTCATCCTCCTGTCCTCTTGTTTGTTAGCTATTTTAGAGTCTAGAGTCTAGAGTGTTAGACTAGTAATATCTCAAAACTTCAAAATGTCAATTTTCCTTTTTGGGTCTTCAGGATTGCAAACAAGGGATATCGCTACTCCCACCATCGATACTGCCATCATAAAAAGATCGCATTCAAACGCCTTGACTCTAGGTATTAGTGCGCCAATCTTCCATCAAATGCTGCAATGCAAGGATTTCTTAAGACTCATGTGAGTGATGTTGGGCTGCCGAAGGGGTTTATAGGAAAAGATGGACCTTAAGAGAGTAAAATCAGAGAGGAAGATAAAGAATTCAGCGCAACTGGACAGAACAGAGAATCCACAATGACAGAGTGCTTGGGCTTTAATGACAATTCTTCGTGCGACTCCCAATTTCTGAATCCACATGAGAGCTAAGCTGCGGTTTCATTGCAGCTGAAACTCCAACCCACAATGATGCATCGTTAGCTACAAAAAACACTGCGCTTTGAGGAACCCATCATGCAGCCTACGAAAAAAATACAATTGTTTTAATATCTAAACAACTTCACGTGGAACATCTAAGGGTTTGACCCATTCTTGTCACAAAGGCATTTTTGTACTTAAAAAATACCAAATACGAAAAGCGATCAGCAAAATATTTGCTCCTCCAACCTATTTCCCAATAATTCTCGTTCCTTAAGCAGATATCTTCTAAGATTTTAGTTTGTTCTTCTACTTTGATCCACTCTACACTACTATCTCCGCTTGGTCACCAACAAGAAATGCCTATTTTGTAGCACGTACGCCAACTAGGATACGATTTGGAAAAAAATAAAGAAAAAAGAGTTCTACTTCGAAAAATCTTCTGCGAGTTAATGCTGTCGTTCTTGAGGTCCACATTGCATATTGTAGGGGCGCTAGAGCCAAGCACAACTGTTGTGTCATCCTCCAATCGCACCATAAGGCGTAAGTCTAATCCGTCATTACGCACTTTGGCAGATCAGGAACACCGATAAAACTGCCAATCTATGTGGCAAGCCAAACCAAATTTGCTTCGTGTTATTTTGTATGGTAGAAAAACAGGAAAAAGTCAAAAAAAGATTACTGGAGTTAATAGTAGGTTTTTGTGGAGTCCGCAGGCTGGGCTCCGCAGTGGAGTCTGCAAATGATCAAGGGCAGCTTTTCGGAATATCGAATGTGTAGAATTCGTTCTTACTTAGTACTCTCTCATACCTACTTTCAAGTTGCTGTTGCATGCTTTTTGCCGAACTGCGGGGTCACATAATTTCCAGATTAGGCAGCTCGAGGTCACTAGCATCAGCGACTTGTGGCACGAACGAGCCACACTACATAAAGAAAAATATTGTAGACCGTTCGTGAAGGATTACAAAGAAAAATTTAAGCGTGATGATGATTTAGGAATAAAATCGAAAACTAAGACGACAACGCTAAGGTAACTACACATTTAGGTCACGAACATTTGGCAACTACACGAATAATGCTTAAACCTCACACGCTGCTCGTTCGGTAATACCGCTGTATTTCACAAGACCAAAAACTACAGTTTTAGTCACCTTAAAGAGATAAGAGTCTCGAAATAAAAGAATTATCGTTTTTAGGAACACGGGATTTCACCGCAGAAGAATAAAC